ATGTTTCCTTTTCATTCAACTCGCTTGATTTGTTTCATTTCATGTCTTTTATTCTTCAAATCTTTTTTGTTACTTTTGTTACGTTGATATTAAGTCATTTCAAGTCTTTTGTTCATCTCTTTTTTTGGTTACTTTTGATAGGCTAGTTTTAATTCTTTTCATGTCATTCTTTTGGTCAATTTTATCTACACGCCTTGTGATCCTCTTGTCTATAGTTTCCACTCCTGCTCCTCTTCTTGTCTATAGTATGAATAGTCAATCTAACACATTTCATGTTAGACATCGAACCAAACCGTGTTTGATTCATATTGAGCCTCATTTTCTCTTCATATCCAGCCTCATCTGCGTATGATTACCTATTCTCAAATTGATTCACTGCGAAGCTCCATCACGCTGTGGTCGGATGTGCAATTTCATAGATCTTGGTTGGAAACGCGATTGAGGACTGCGCTTCTTGGGATGACCGCCACAATCATACGTATAAAGAGAGGCCTCCATCCAGGCTCCCTCCATCCACACTCCACACTTCACACTACGCCAAATTGAAAATTTACCGCTGAGTTTAGAAAATTGAGAAGACATAGAAAATTATGGAAAATCTGGGAGGGGTCAGAAAAATATGAAAAAATATTGGTTGGGCCCTTTGGTGCATTCCAATCATCTGGCATATTTTTTCATATTTTTACAACCACAATGCAAATAATGTCAGAAACCCAATTTTGGTCCAAAACTGGCAGGTAGAGAGACAGTGACCTTGCAACACCAACAAAATCATCAATTTTTCTCCAACACATGTAATGTCTTGACATTCTGAATTCCACATTCTGGATCTACAGTTTGTGTGCACAAAAAAGCTGTGTGTCTCCAATAATGGGTGAGATATATCAAGAGACGTACACAGCAGAAACCATATATAAGCATAGAAGTCATAACTACAATGGCTTCAGCACCTTAATAAACCTTGTAGAGACATCATGCGGCTTCCATAAATTGCAAGTGTTCAGATGATTGAACAAAAATACTCATATTTTTGTGCTTGGAGGTTTTTGCCCAAATATTGCTAGTTTTGGACCAAATTTGAGTTTCTGACATAATATCCCCTGTGAGCATTTTGGTTTGGGGAGACTTCAAAAATCATGGCAAAAATATGCAAAAATATGCAAAATGAGGGGACAGCACCCATGAATTGAATCATTATTTTTTCAAATTTTTCTGACCTCCCCTGTATTGGTGATATTTTTCTACAGTTTCAATTTTCTGAACTCAGCGGTAAATTAGTGATCTGGCGTAGTGTCACATCACCTCTCACAGTCGATTCATTGTGCATCTTTTCTCAATTTCTTTTGCATATAGTTTAGCCTACCGATTCTTTATTCTTTTCATTGCACATATTCCCTCTGAATTATCGAAAAAATTAGCTTTTGTTTAATTCATCTGCCATGTCGAACCGTGTATGTGGTGAAGTTATGCCCTGGTGTGTTCCCGTCGCAGGAGAAGTAGGTTAGTAAACATTCCGGCTTCAGTATTCCAATCTAAAATTGTAATCAGTTGCTAATGTAGCCGTACCAGCCTGTTGGATATGCACCGACTATGGCTACCAGGCTTCTCTGAGTCCTCGCGCTTTGCGCTATCTCCGGCGTCAAACGGGTTCCGAGGCTTTTGTAGTCCCTGCACGTGTTGGTCCTAGACGTAAGTTTATAACTGTACTGTTTGTCTCAAGTGGTATGCAACAATTAATATTGCTTTCCTTTTGCTTTTGCGCTGATACCATGCAGGCAATCGTACTCGTACCAGTACTCAAGTCACTTGATTTGGTAACAAACGGCGTTACATCCGACCGCGCCGAAGTTACCAAAAACGCTTGTCGTACTGCGAAGACCGAGCCAATAGAGAGATCAAGAAGATCTCTCAGAACAAGCGCAGAGACGAGTTTTGAAATCTACGTGAGGCGCTGATTTTGGTGGCCAGCTACACTGGCCCTTACTTGCAACACGCAGGTTATAAGAAGAAGGCCGGACTCTTTTTAAGAAGAGTAGGACTCGGTGAACACTTTGTCAAATTATCTGAGGATATCAAGTGGGAATGGCTTGAAGGGCGCATCATGTGAGGTGTTTCATGTGTTGAACATCTATTCTTCCGTATTTGTTGTCTCGCTATTTCTGTTATCCCTCAGTATATCATGAAGATTTCTTTGTCGTTGTGTTGATCGATCATGAATTGGTCTCGCCTCTCTTTGTATCATGAAAACAAATCAAGACTGTACATAGAAATGGCCATTGCTATATTGCTTTATACTACATGAATAAAAGAAAGGAAAGACATCTCTGCAAATTGCGCACGTATATATCACAAAGTCATAAGAACAACAAACCGATAAAGACTAAACAAAAGCAATTCATGTAGATACCAACTATAGACACATAAAAAAAATAAGAGAGAGAACTACGTGTATAAACAAAAAAAATAAGAGAGAGAACTACATAACCATCAAGAAAGAAATAAAATTGTACAGACTAAAGAAAAGATGAGTCAAACAAAAGCTAGAGATCATCTTCACTGCTCATATCAGTTAAATCTTCATCGTGATTGTGAGAATTCATCTTCCACAGGTGCTCGATCAAATCGTTGCGTAAGGCATAGTGAGCATCTGCATTGCGAAAAGCTTCGCGGCCTCGCATAAACTGAGCAGCAAATCCAGGAGGGCGACGTAGAGGAACAGGAGGAATCAAATCTTTGTCTTCCAAAAACTCATAGCCCGGGTTCCCTTGGTCTTCAATGATCATGTTATGAAGTATGATACAAGCATTCATAATCAAACATAGTGAGCACGGTTGCCACATACGGGCAGCTCCTCTGATTATGTGGAAACGAGCTTGCAGTACACCAAAGGCTCGTTCCACGTCCTTGCGAGTGGCCTCTTGAGCTTGGGCGAAATTCTACAGTAGAGAAGCCGAAGGAAAACAATCACACATTAGAAGAGTGAAAGAAACAGTCGAAATCAAGATAGGAGAAGTGAGAACCAGACTGACCGTCAATTTAGGAGTGTCAGGAGCGCTGTAAGACTGGATCAAAGTTGCCCACTTGGGATAAATGCCATCAGCAAGGTAATAACCGGTGTTATAGTCCTTGCCATTTACTTTGAAGTTACAAGGGGGAGAGAGGCCTTGAGAGAGGTCGCGGAAAAGATTGGATCGTTCAAGTACGTTAATGTCGTTATTAGCACCAGGTAAGCCGAAAAACGAATGCCATATCCACAAGTCGCGGGTTGCAACCACTTCGAGAATCAGAGTCGGCTTGCCCAAACGACCAGCAAAAGCTCCAGTGAGCGCTTGAGGGCAGTTCTTCCATTGCCAGTGCATACAGTCTAAAGATCCGAGCATTCCGGGAAATCCTCGTTCGGCGTTCTCGTCAAGTATGCGCTGGACATCTTTGGCGTTGGGCTTGCGTTGGTAATGCGGACCAAACAATCGAATGATACCGCTGCAAAACTTGAGGAGACATTGGATAGCGGTAGATTCGGCGATACGCAAGTATTCATCCATTTGGTCAGCAGTGGTACCGTAAGCAAGCTGACGCAGAGCCGCTGTAACCTTCTGGTGAGGCGAGTTTCCAGCTTGACCTTGATAATGAATCCGAGCATGAGGTTGATTAGATTAGATTACAATCGGGTCAAAAGGGAGCTGATGCTAACCTGTACAGTTATAACGCTGTGTAAAATACACGTCATCGTTTCCAAGGGCGTTCATGATGCGCAAAAACAAACGTTGGCTCATCCGGAATTGGCAACGAAAAAGCCCCTCACCATAGACAGGATTTGCCGCAAAGTAATCTTTCATCAATCGAGCATGACCGGATTCAGGATCGCGAGGGAGATTAGGCGCTTTGCCGGGTAGAGAGCCACCTGGACTTGGGCGAGTTTCTTCTTCCTCCAACAACAGCAGGGTGTTCAACATATCTTGAGTGAAGTTCGAAAGATTGGACAGGTGCTGGGAACGAATAGATGAACCAACTGAGTACTGGGCCATAAATTTGAGAAAATCTTCTCTCATGGTACTCATTATAGCGCTGAGGAAGGATGATGATATGACTAAGCAGCCGAGCAAAAGGTATAAAGTGAAATGAAGTTTAAGATGTATACAAGGCAGAGGGAAACGGACGACAAGGGATGGGGAAAAAGGAAAGAAGGGTTGGACACATCTATTTAAGAGGGGGAGTCGCCCGGTCGTGTGCTTGACTTTGGCTCTGACTCGGTGTATAAAGGCCGATATGGTGGAATTACGGCATACACAGACACCTATCTCCCTGTGCGCTATGGATTTTGATAGCTCCTTTGGAGCTATCTTCATAGTATTTTTCTCGATCGTTCTATGTATATAATATGAGGCTTATCGTATGTATCACACAGATTGACTATTATGGAAGCAAATGGCGTGCGTAAGAACGCGGAGGTAGGGTTACGGTCTGGTCCAGGGTGTCCGGTGGCCGTTGCCCTTCCTGAAGGGAAAATACAACGTGTCACACGTCGGAAATACTGCCCTGTATGACTGGTTGCGGTTCAGGACTGGTGGGGATGCTCTAAGGCTGACACTTTCTGCCTTCTTGACAGCTATCTCAAGATGGAAAGTCGACAAGTTCCATCATTCCTCGATGCCCTCCACCCTCATTGACCACTCTCTCCCTGATGGGCACCCCATTTCTCCTCTCTTGTCCAATTGCCTGTTTGTCTTGATCCATTGTCTCAATCCTCTTTCCTCCACTTTTGATTATCAGCTACCTGCTCCAAAGACATTCAACATCGGCCATTTCACGATGTTCAATCAATCAACACCTTCAAACCCAACCGCTCATGTCTCCTCCAATGGCTCTTTGGAGTTGAACAGCAACAAGTGTGTTGATTTTCCACCTAGAAACATACAGGGCCAGTGTGTACATAGATGGTTAGTTTATTTTTTCGATATCCTATTCCTCCGATTGGTTTGTGTTCATAGACAACATTATTGATGTTGCTACCTTTGAACGCTCAGGCCAAGTTCACATGATCCTACCCAACTCGTGTTTTACCATCAAGCCAGCCGGTGCCAATATGAACAACAACGAGAAACCCCAGCTTCAGCTCCGCTGTTATACAACCCTCACGGGCCTGGCTCACAGGCATTGGGTTTGATCTCACCTTTGCCTAGACCAAGGAATCTCCCTGTCAACCGCTCATCCGATACTTTGGATTCACATCCCTTCTTTCGACGTAATGCCAACATTTCAACCAATTCTCATCATGTTGGCCAAAGAGTTCCTCTTTCAAGCCAAACCAGCGAAATCAGTCATGCCTCATCCAAAATCCCACCGGATGCCCCAACCGGACTTCGTTCAAGCCAAACCAGCAATGCCGATGACTCTGTGTTTGCTATTGGATCTCAACCTTCCACCAGTAACAACGTGAACCATCACTTCAGAGTTGATCTATCCCAATCTCAAACTTCTCACCAAAGTTATCAATTCAGTGTCAACGATGTGATACCTGAAACTCCCCAAAATCAAATAGCCAGTTGGGAGTTATCTTTACCGCCTTCTCCAACCAATTTGTGGAACGAACATCAATCTCAATCTGAGATTGAGACTTCCGGCAAGGAGCCTGCCGTAAGCATGACTTTGGGTGAGTATTGTGCTATCTTTGGGTGTCTAGGCCAAAATTTTTGTCATTGATGGTTTTTTTGGCGCTTCAAATTAGATGGTCCTGATGAGGTGATGCACGGCTTGTGGCTTAAATATGTTGTTCATTCACGCCAAGGCGTGGATCCTGCTAGAGGGCCTTCGGCAGCTAAGAATCTGGCGCCAAAAATGTTTATTCACACCTTCAAAGCGTGCAAATTTGCAGTCAATATCAATAGTGACTCTTTCTTGGACTTGAAGGAACAACTTTTCGTTTATTCCGACCAAATGGGTAAAAACGCCAAAGGGAACAGCTTCATTTTCAAAGCTGCGGACGCTACCAACTCGGTTGCGTATATCGCTTACATTCACAGTCATGAGGTTTATAGTAAAGCGGCGGCGATTGAGCTTACTTGTGATGACGATGTCAAACAATTCTTCTTGGCTATCTCAACTCATCCAAAACAAACATCCGGAATCGACGTTCTAATGGAAGATCCCACCAAAAAGAAATCAGAGGCTGAAAAGGTAGTGTCATTACTTTTTTTTGTCTAATAAAACATATATAGTTTGGATGTTTTATTAAATGAAGTTCTGGTTCCTTTGATAGAATCTTTCCATAGGGCAACATCAGTTACAGGCCAAGAATATCAATGCAAACATGTTGACTTCAACTTTGGATCTTGCTCATGCCACTCCTGAAGACCCGGTGGACACAGATTTGGCGGCCCTCATGGTCAAATATAGCACCGCGAAAAACAACAATGCCGAGGGCTGGTGGGTCTACAAGTTCGATGATATCACCAAGGTGATGCCTATCAACTTCCAATTGTTGAGGATATGGGCGGAGCATATGGTAAGTAACTTTATCTGACCCTATCCTCATATCCCTAGCTGACGATATGTATCTCTCTCACTGGGTGGTGCAGGTTAAGGACCCGTCGGTCACCGTGGATAAGCCTCCAAAGGCCGAAGGCTTTGAATGGACGCATCTAAAGAAAACGGTCACTTTGCAGACCCCCGTGACCTCTGGCGGCTCTGCCATGACCCATCAACCATCACCAATAACTCCAGGAACAATCTCTGAAGCTCAAGGTTATGATATTGTTGTAGACCCTTACAAAGTAGACCAAATCAGGACATACACCACCATGGACAATTACATGGCCTTCGCCGGAGTTTGTGTTGGCAAGGTAGATGAGGTAGTTGCCATCTTGTTCGACCACGATATTGAGCGTTTCAATGCTTTTCTTTACCCTGAAGAAACCGGCATCAAAGACCTCGTTGAAATGGGAATTCAACATGGAACTGCCATGAGATTGATGAACTGCGCCCGTCGATTTTATCAACACGTCCTGAACGACGAAATCAAGAACCCCAAATCGCCTTTTGATTCCAGCATGGTAATCTAGGTCTCTGATTTACTGACCTGGCAATCAACCCTCCAACCCGCGATCTTACATTATTAGATCAAATCAAGTAAAATTTTACTTGATGTGTGTTTTCTTGAATTCAGTGATTTGTCGTCTGCTTTTATCTATATCACCTTTATAAAGAAGAAATGATCTTCAAAATGGTTTGTTGTTCTCTTGCCTTGAATAGTGAGTCCAAAAAAAGAAATTTCTTTCTGTTGTACGATTGATTTAAAAATCCATCACAAAATTCAATTGTCTTTGTCTTGATTCTTTTAAAATTGTTATGAAACCAAAATTTTCTCTATTTTACAAAACCATTTAAAACATGATCTTGTACGTCTTGTGTTTGAGAATTTGGTTTGGCTTTATCATAGCCTTCAGTTGTGCGTGTTGCTCATATGTCCTTCAAGTTGTCGTGGTGATTCAGAGATTGCAAAGTACCAGTTTGTGTACAATCATCTTTTGAAATATACTTGTCCCCATTTGACCCAAAAACGCCCCAAAAAAATATAACTTGTGTCATCAATTATGAATGATGACACATTACTTAGTCACTGGAGACATATTTGCACAGATTGGCCCTGAGGTTGGGATTATGATGTTTTTATTCATAAACATCATAAGTTTAGTAACCTAACTTCTGATGTTTATTTCTCACAAAAAGTCACATAAGATAATCCATTTTCAGGACAAATAACCTTATGAAGCAAAATGTATGCCATCACTTTTCATGATACTCACATGGTAGCAAACTTCAAAGGAGGAAACCATACGAATTTGAAACAAAATGAAACAGAGAATCAATTTGAAATTGGCCGTTGCTTGTTACTAATAATCATTTTCATTTAATCAAATCAAACCAAAAAAAGACCAATTATTAACAAGCGGTGGATAATTTTGATTTGTTTGGCAAAAAAGAAAAAAAGTAATAAACATCCTTTATAATTCCCTCTTTGGAAGAACGACTTAAGCATAAGAATTGAAATGGAAAGAAACATCACATCCATCTTACGTCAAGAATTTTGAAATGTAGTCTGAAAAGATTATGGGGATTGTCAGACATTTTGGGTTGCAAATACAATATCACTCAAACTTGTTTATTAAAAGAAGTAGAAAAGCAATCTATGTCATAGAACCGGAGGTTTTGGGAACATAGTGACCTGTCAAACTCAAGCTTAAATAATCCATGAAAAAGTGTATAATATCATCTATCAACATCTCCACTCAATCCCACCACTAAATTTAAAAAAATAGCTGCTTATGTGGCTAATCCTATTCATCAAACTGTTGATTGTATCGGTCCCAATAGTATTGAGTCGCATAACCGGTGGAAACAATGAGAGGCTGCATCAAACGCCTGGTTATTACTCTGCCAGCCACCCCCAGTAAGTAATCACCCTTGCCGTTCTCTTCATGCAGTTGAACACTTGTTCTATAGGATTAAGGTCAGGGGAGTATGCAGGCAAGTAAATTAATAAAACCCCTTTGTCTTTGCACAACTGCTTGATTTTGCCACCATGATAGATCTTGGCGTTGTCCAATATGAGAACGGAATTGAGCCCGGGGTAAGAGTTCATAACTGGGAGCTGCAGGATGTAGAACTCGACATAATGATCAGTATCAGTACTTTTACACATAGGTGAGGCAAGAAGGAAACTGACCAGTTTCCAAGCTAGGAAAAGCTTGACATGGAAACGCTCAACAGGACCTTTAACCGCTGTCCCGGCAATCATTCCAGCCTCACAAACCGCCGGAAGGATAGTCCAATGGTCATTTTCTTGGTAGGTGGTCGCACGGACTGTGTGAGTCCCAGTTGGAGCCCAACTTTTCTTTCCTGTTGCATCTCGGCCTCACACTGGATTCGTCTAAAGGACCCAGACAGATGAATGGGTTAGATACGGAATGCGAGGTGTGCCAAAGTGCCAAATCAAATTTCCAAAAAACAAATTTCAGAATCCCCGAGTCAGAAATTGACAAAACTGGATTAAACTTTAAAATTAACTCAAATACTGGTCTGAAACCCCCTGTATTTGGGATAAAACCACACTTTCTGCCAGTTCTCACGGTTTACTAACCACGGCTGCGATTTTGACCGCTGAGTTGGCACTTTGGCACAATATATACGTGGAAATTTCAAGGAATCAAATGTTCAACATGTCAAAATTCGCCAACTTAAAAAAGCACAGAAGGCAAAACATAACACCTACCACACAACAACAATACTAGCCAAAACCTACTTCTTCCACAATCATGATTGACCTAGTCTTAGGTAGCCCACAGCTTCAGTCAATCAACTGAAGAAAACTGGTATGGGTGTACCGCCGGTCCCCGGGTAGCTGCTTCAGACAGGCTACGTAATCCTGGTTTTAGGGTTGGACCACCCAGTGTTAGGTGGTCTACAGCTTTAGTCAAGTATACATACCAGTCCCCAGGTACTCTCTCCAGTCAAAGACCACCAAATCCCCTTTATTTATGGTTTGATCACCTTTGGTAAGGTAGCATAGACCACAGCCTAAACCACCTAAGCCTAGGTGGTCAAACTTTAATAGATAGACCACCTAGGCTTAGGTGGCTCTCTTCTCCAGTCAATCAACTGGAGAACGGGCCTAGGTGGTCCAAGTTCAATAGGAGGACCACCTAGGCTTATGTAGTTCTCTTCTCCAGTCGATCGACTGGAGAACAGGCCTAGGTGGTCCCAGTTTACTAGGAGGACCACCTAGGCTTATGTGGTCTTCTTGTCCAGTCGATCGACTGGAGAACAGGCCTAGGTGGTCCCAGTTTACTAGGAGGACCACCTAGGCTTATGTGGTCTTCTTCTCCAGTCGATTGACTGGAGAACAGGCCTAGGTGGTCCCAGTTTACTAGGAGGACCACCTAGGCTTATGTGGTCCTCTTCTCCAGTCGATCGACTGGAGAACAGGCCTAGGTGGTCCAAGTTCAATAGGAGGACCACCTTGGCTTATGTGGTCCTCTTCTCCAGTCGATCGACTGGAGAACAGGCCTAGGTGGTCCAAGTTCAATGGGAGGACCACCTTGGCTTATGTGGTCCTCTTCTCCAGTCGATCGACTGGAGAACAGGCCTAGGTGGTCCAAGTTTAATAGGAGGACTACCTAGGCTTATTTAGTCCTCTTCTTCAGTCAATAAACTGGATAGAGTACCATGGGACCAGTTCCAGGGCTTTTTCTCCAGTTTCTTGACTGGAGAAAAAGACCACCTAAGCCTAGGTGGTCTATCTAATAAAGTTTGACCACCTAGTCTTAGGCCTTCAAGGCTGTTGTCTATATACCACCTAAGCCTGGGTGGTCAAATTTGATTACATGGACCACCCAGGCTTAGGTGGTCCTCTAGTGATCATGTTTGTCATTGTGTCCTTTGATTGTGTTGCCTTTAATGAATTTTGTAATGGCAATATCAGTCATTGATATTGACTATGTGTACCATTGAGCAAAATCCCAGTCCACAACTGGTCACATGACCTTGTGTGTTTTGTTGTTTTTTATGTTTGTGAATTTTGACATGTTGAAAATTTGATTTCTTGAAATTTTCGTGTATTATTTGTGCCAAAGTGCCAAGTCAATGGTTGTAATTTGAGTTGCGGTTTGCAAACAGGGGAAACTGGCAGAAAGTTTGGTTTTATCCCCAATACAGGGGGTTTCAGACCAGTATTTGAGTTAAATCTGGTGTTTAATCCAGTTTTGTCAATTTCTGACCCGGGGATTCTGAAATTTCCAATTTTGAAATTCTATTTGTCACTTTGACACACCTCGCATTCCGTACATTTACTTGTAGTGTTAATATTTTGTTTAATATCTCATGATAACAGAGCGAAAACAACTCGATATTGTATTCTGTAAATGTACCTTGGATCAAGTAAGACTGGTCAGGATGGGATATATTGGAGGATCTCCGGTACATCCGCAAGCAGCATACTCAATCAGGCTGCTTAGGATGCATCATTCCTTCTGGAAGTATTGCACCGTCAGAACTCAAGGTTTTGCGCTTGGATTGGATGAATTCCTGGACGCAGCAAATCCGCTAATCTTGGTTGCAAAAACCAATCAGGCAAGTCCACTAAATACCTTTTGGATGGTGAGTATGCTCAGCTTACCCGTGTTTGTTTTTAAGCCTCGACGTTGGCGCAAAACCCTGTCTTCGGCAATTGATGCCTATCGATATATCCTACGGAAGCAGAAGGAACTTACCATATGTGCATTGTATCTCACCGCATTGGATCAACTTGCTATGAATTGCCCAAGATGTTTTGGGCCGCTTCAAGCAAAACCAGAGGCAGGTGAGAGTGATTATCATGTCTGCACAGATGGAAACTTTCAACATCGTCGTCACCTTGCTGCAAGCCGGGAGTATGAGGAAATGGAAATGGAGAATCCTCCTCTCTTCCTTGACGATAAGAAGGTTGCAGAGTGGAGGACACGAACTGGTGGCAAAGATCCTTGTGCAGTTGGGGTATGTACACTATCATCATCATCTGCAATCAAGAAATGCACAGCTGATACATATGTGAATGGAATTCACATATGTGTGATTTTGATTCACATGTGGGTGAATAAAATTCACATATAGGTGAATTCTATTCACCCATACGTGAATGAGATTCACATTGAGGTGAATTTTATTCACTCATACGTGAATTTCAATTACTTTTATGTGGATTGCATTTACGTATGGGTGAATAAAATTCACATATAGGTGAATACAATTCACGTATGAGTGAATAGCATTCACCTAAATGTGAATCTCATTCACGCATGGGTGAATGGAATTCACATATATGTGAATGAAATTCACCTGCATGTGAATCAAAATCACCCCTATGTGAATTACATTCATGTTCGTGCGGCTAGGGTGATCCAATATATGAAGATGAGACACAAACGTGTGAATCACCACGACAAATATGTCAGTTGCAGTCGAACACCTGAAGATCGGGGAGACCACTTTTTCAGCAGCGACGGTCTCTGAATCGCTACTATCGTTCCTTCGACTGCTAAAATCAGACATGGCTTTCGAACGGGGCGAACATTCCTGGATAACCCGGGAAGATCCTTACAGAGAATATAGAGTCTGCGGCTAACTCTTTTTTATAGGTTCCACCCCCCTTATAATAACTGGTATACTATCTCTCACTTCACTGTAGCCATACCAACAAGATTACTAGATAGTATGATTTCAGCTATGGCGGGTTCTTAGAGCGGATTTATTTTCTGCTTGTCAAATACTGGGGTTATTACCCTGAATTTGTGCGGATTTTCTATTAACGTCCTTACATTCAATTTCATTTTCTTTTCTTCTCTGGGTATGCAATTTGTCAATACGATATTTAAATATAGCCGTAGTTTAATATGCCTCAGTGAATTGAATTCAAGTATGGATGAATGTCATTCAACAATATAGGTGAATTTCATTCACCTATGGGTGAATAGAATTCACCTATATGTGAATGAAATTCACTCATACGTGAATTTCAATCACTTTTATGTGAATTGCATTCACACATATGTGCTATATATTCACACATATGTGAAAGACATTCACATGTGGATCACACTGGGGTGAATGAGTTTTTGGCTTTATCTGATCTGATATATATGTTTTCTTTTTTTCCTCAGGATCCGTGTTCAGCATCTCACACAGCAGCTTCAGACATACGAGGAAAATCTACATGGAAAGGGTGTGATGAAACAGGCCTTATTGGATTGGCTTGTAGGCATGATCACGTCCTGAAATTTGTGAATGTGGTTCAGAGTGGCGAGCGGTAAGGGATCCACTTCCACTGCATATGAGGGATGTTTTACAATTCTAATAATTCTTGCAATACTTAGTCAGTACTTTGTATTGGCATTGCTTGATCAGCTGTTGATAGATACAGCGGAGCCAGACAAACCTGGTAAAAGTTTTACGGTGTTCTATGATATTGGTTGTACATTTGAGAAGAGTGTTCAGAACGTAATTTTATTTCTGCGCTCTCAGAGGCTCATATAATATAATGGTTCTTACATTGCTTCTTGATTTGATTTGACAGCGTAAATATTTCGAGGCAGAATACAATCGTGGGGATCTCCGTTTTGCAACTAGTGCTTTCCATGCATATGCCCACGAGTGGTCTTGTCAGCTCAAATATAATCCAAGACTGAACGAGGGAAACGGATTGTCAGATGGCGAAGTTTGTGAGCGGATATGGGGGGAGAATTCTCCTCTGATAGCACCAAATAGATGTGCCACAAAGCAACATCGAGTTGATGCCATAGATTTGAAGTCTAGTCATGGAAATGACACACGATGCAAAAACGCAGGTGTGTTTTTTGTACATGATATGACAATACTATGCTGACAACTGGCTTTAGCTTTCTCAACTCAGGCAAAACTAAAGACGGCAGAAGATAGGTTTCATAAGGCATCTCAGACCCTCCTCAGCCTAGAATCTCAAGATGCCAGTTTTACGTATGGCTATTTTTCTGATCAGTGGAAGCGGCAGAGAGAGGTACAGCTGGCTGCCATAGAAGAACATGGAATACAAGAGAAGCTAGAGGAATATTTGGTGAAGCTTCTTGACCTGGAAGGGCAGGTGAAAGATGCTCAGTAAATTACGTCAATTTTTAGTTGGATAGATGTTTTGTTGATTTGTTTTTGTTTGTTTTTGGGCAGAAATGAGCTTTCACGTCTGCGAAGGAAGCACAGAAGAAATCGGACAGAAGCTGAGATGGACCAGTTTTTAACATTGCCATCATCAATTGTTGCACTTGAGAAGGCGGTTGCTGATATTACTTTGGAGTTGGGAACCCCTGAATTCAATCAACTTCGGGCGGCTACTGGTGAGTCCGGTGCTAGAGTTATTAACCCATTTGTCTGCAATTTGATTTTAAATGTGAATTTAATTTATAAAGGGGCAAAAGCGGAGGCACTGATACGTGTGCGGCTGGCCAAGATGAAGCTATATGAGGCTAAGGTGGGCATAGTAGAAGCGCAAAAAAAGTGGGATAAGGGTGGTCAAGGCAAGTGTTTTTAGTTTACCAGTGGGAAAAACGTGGAGCACAACACAGCCTGATGATGAATGAATTTTGCTTTTGTTGTTTTTGATTTGGATGATTGTAGGAACTAAAGCACAGCAAGGACTTAAGACTTTAATGACAAAGAAGCAATTGATGTTTTGACGGAAATGGACATCTTATGAATCTCAAGTGGCATATTACAATTCCATCCGTCCAGTAACAAGGATGGCTTGTCCATCTCTTGATGAAGCCAAAAAGCTACCATTTGAGGATGTCTTCTGGAATGTGGGCGCACTTTCTCATCCTACAGAGAAGTGGGCTGTAGATCCGCCAACAATTGAAGGTATTCAGGCTTTTTTACAGCATAGAAGTTGCAGTGAAGAACTACGAAGAATTGGCCGGGAAACACAGCAGATGGTGTATGAAGCTTTGAAGACTGAGGAGAAGCTTGATGGCTTACTTGCGTTGTGTAGTAGTGGTCAGTAGGAGTTTGTTTGATTGATTTGTCTTTTGATTGTCCTGAGGTTTTTATTCTTTCTCTCAGATTATGATCCAGAAGAAGGTGGCAGGCGCCTCATTGAATTGGTTCAGCCTGGCCAGCGTATATCAAAAGATGTTTGGGAAGAGAATGTGGGAGTGTTGAGATCTTTGCATGATGATCTGCGTCAGAAGCATTGCAGAACCTGGAGGATATGGGATGCAAATCTTGTGAGATTGCTTCGTAGAACCTATCAACACACAACATCAACAGCACAAGAAATTAACTCATTGATTAAGCGCTGGGAAGGATTGGTAAATAGGGGTAAAACAACCTGGGAGCGTATTGTGAAAGCTCAGAATATAGAATCAACAGCTCTGGATGAGCTGGAAATGTTTGAGCAAGTTATGTTTCATGGGGAGGATTACATAGGGCAGGTGGGTGACTTAGCAGATGAAGTGAATGAACTGTTCATTCATGATGAAGAGGATGATGCAGACATGGAGGAAGACTTTGATGAAAGTGGTTTAAATTAAAAATGAATTTGTTGGTTGTTTGTGGGTTTGGTAAAGGTAGAAATATTACAGATTAATTTTTATTACACCTAGTATTTAGTATGAGTGTTGAGTATTGAGTACCACGAGTGACAATTTGACTTCCACATATTTGATTCTATGTCACATCAGGGTGAATTCATTCACCCCAATGTGAAAGTGTATCACACAAGGGTATATAGAATCACCTCAGGGTGAATGGATTCGACATCATGGTTCACCCTAAGGTGAATGAATTCACCCCATTTCACCCTGAGGTGAATCAATTCACCTCTTGTATAGAATCACCTCGGGGTGAATGAATTTGACATCATGATTCACCCTGAGGTGAATGATTTCACCTCATGTAACTTGATCACTCCACGAATTGGTAAAACACATGTAGTCATTGAGTTGAATGGATTCACCCGAGTGTGATTGTTAATCACCCTTCTGATATTGGTAACCACCATCATGGGATTCAAGGTCAGACTAGCTGTTGATCATACTGATAAGTGCCCCGGTGAAAGTATTTCCACATATGAAATTTGATATCACATCGGGGTGAATGGGTTCACCATATGAAATTTGATATCACATCGGGGTGAATGGGTTCACCCAAGTGTGAATAGTGATTACACTTTTCATATTGGTCAATCACATATATAATCACACTTGTGTGATCTATTGTGACTGTGGGATTTGTTAAAAATATTTCCTGCGCATGTGAATTGAAATCACACTTGGGTGAATTGAAATCACACTTGAGTGATTTGCATCACGTTTGGGTGAATTGAATTTCCACTGCCGTGATTATACCAAATGTTTTTCATACAAAATGGTATACACATGGTAGTAGATCAACACGTGTGTCCAGCTTGTTCTTCATCTACGTTGGAGCTGACTCTTTGATCCGACGCGTCGGGGGCGTCGGCGCGTCGGTAGGGGGCATTCCGGACAATGTCGGATAGGGAATACACTTTTTTCAACGGATAATATCCAAAGCGTCTAGTAGACACAGGTGAATCTGTGCCATGAACTGCCCTTTATGACCATTTGACGAATATCTGTGCACTGTATTCTCAATATGTGAAATACCACTCTCCCAGTGAGAATGTCGTTGCCTCTATAGTCAAAGCCTAGCCAGTTTTAGTTTCACAATGCTCTGAGCGAGCAGCGCTTCAGAGCTGGGTAAACGACTAATAATGGGCGCATACATTGCCAGTTCACGGTGCCTCATCCCGGGCTAATACACTGTGCAGCACCCCGTGTCAATGTTGAAATAGATGATCAAGTAACAATGTTCAAGACCTGATAGCACTTCACTGACCCAGAAATCGTTCAACATGCATCAAATCGCGGTTCGTGCCCAATGGGAAAACAGCGAGAACTCAATTCAATTGCGATTTAGTAACGAGATCCCGCATAACATTGGACAATGCGTTGATGTTTGCGCCAAATGTGATGCCCTGCACTGGATCGCGGAGCGAACGCGCAATACGAGAACTATGGGACCATCAACTTATTCAACTTGCTGCCAAGGCGGTAAAGTGTTACTTCCCGAACATTACTTCGATTTTCCACCTGTGCCTCCGTTTCTACAAAATCTGTTCACTGGCAAAGACAATTGTACGCACTTTGCCTCCAATTGTCCACGTGCTTCCAAAGAGTTGACCGTCCTTAATTCCAAGGTAATCGAAACTTTCACGAAAACATACGCGCATACAATAACTGCCTTTCCTTTACGTCTTTAGGAGCCGAAGTAAATCACAAAGTGGACGGGCCCCATGGGGTTTGCTGTTTCAAGGTTCAGGGGGCACTTTACCACGACATGGGATTGATCCTTCCCAGGCCCGGCACAAGAGCCTCATTCGCGCAGATCTACGTTATGGGAACACAACTCGAGGACGAGGCGTCACACCGGAAACTTATGTCACGCTCGAAAGAAGTAGATGTTGGAATAATCGCCGAGATTCAAGACTTTATGTATGAACACAACCCGTACGCTCAACAATTCAGAATGGCCCATGATATCCTGGGCACGGCGGGCTCGATCTCCTTAAAGTTAAAATCAGTTACGCCGACTGAGGTGGGCTCTGAAGGTCACGACATTCGGACATACTGCCGACCCACGGTGAACAAGGTTGCCATGATTGTCGCTGGTGGGGGCGTAGTAGGGGAAAAGGATAGAGATTTGATCTTACATAGTGTTGATGGTCAATGGGAATGCGTTTCAGAGCAACACACTGGCTATTTACCTTTACGGTACCCACTGCTTTTCCCCTACGGTCAAGCGGGGTACGACGAATTTTGCAGAGTCCCAACGCCAAATAGTAAGTACAAATAGTGACTAAGTGCAAATACTCGCTGACATGAGATCATCGTAGATGACGGCAATACGGTTTCCTTGCTGCAATGGTTTTCGTATCTACGGAATGCGAGAGGTGTCAAGGTGACAATGCAAAAATCAAAAATCAAAAATCACAATTCCCGGGTGCGAAATTCAAAAATCAAAGACAAAACTACAGAAAATATTCAAATACAGGGCAAAAACCCCTGTACTGGAGTAAAAGTCATGGCACAAACCACTTTCAGACCAGGTTACGGCCCAAATTTCAGTAGATTGACAACTTGAAACTCAACATTTGTCACCCCATTGTTGCATTGACACAAAAAGTACCAGGAAAGCCACAAAAGAGGAAAACAAAATTCAAAAATCAAAAAAACAAAAGCCGAAAATCAAAAAACAAATGTCGATAATCAAAAAACAACAATTAACAAACCATAAACGAAGCCCCCAAAGATGAAAACTTCACATTAGATGATGAAAATTGTACAAACCGCCTCTCTACCTCTCTACCTCTCAACCAATCACACAACCCATACACCACACACCATCACCGATCATCTTATATTGGCCAGTCATTCATCCACATTTATCCATCTTTTGTCATAGTCTCCACCCATCCACCTTGTTCAACAAAACCTACACTACACTGAACTTCTTTGATTGTCGTCACTCTTCTTCATCCTTCTTTGATCGT